AAATTTCTTCTTTTCGGAGATTCCGTACTAATCAAAAGGAAAAATATTAGTTTTGGAGGAGAGAATAAAAATAGAATGAAGTCATACATCTTCGATATCAAATTGGATATTASTTATTGATSTCGTTCTCATAACGTGTTGATTCTTTCGTAGCTTGGTCATGGCACTCAATTCCAAGCCAGAGCGGACCGATCCGACCAGTATTCCTCACTGTCCATCCGTGCTTTTTCCATTATTTCTGCCAAGASAACCGAATCTTGCCGTAACCGTTCTGCGATAGTTTCCGCTTCCAAGTTCGACTCCAGTTGCTCGGGGGTGACAGCTCCRGAGAGAACCCGGGGTTGAAATGGTTGCGCCAAAATACATGCCAGAGCCAGTTGATCGGGAGAGCAAGAGAGTTTCTTCGAATATTCCTGAATGACCGGGTTTCGCAAAACTCGGCCGTTTGCCATGCCTTCTTTGATGATAATATCCATTCCTGCTTCGTGCGCTTTCATGAGGCACGGGGCCGGACGCTGTTCGAGGACGTTGTAAGTGCACTGTACCGAGTCAAAGAGTTTCTCACCGTCGACTGAAATGTCCATWGCTTTTTGGATAACTTCGTCTTGTTTTGGAGACGATACCGATAAGCCAATAGMAATTCCGTTTTCTTGCTTGGCTTTGTTCAAGGCTTTGTGGACGTCCTCGTTCTCCAGGACTCCAGATTCAAAGGTTGCCGAATGGATTTGATACAAGTTCATGTAATCCCCGAGAATGTTCATAGATTCGTCAAATTGCTTCAAAAAATTCTAAGTATTCACAGCGTTTGTTTTTGGTACGACATGCAAGGGAGATAGATAGATTCGTTCATTTTGACAGTGAAGGGGACATCTGAAAATGTGAGAATGCGGCGTTGTCGTTTTRCAATCACTCTATCAGAGAGATAAAAGACTGCAACACAACCTACCTCTACCGAATGATCTTTGACTTCGTGTGGCTTTCCAGCTTCAAGCTTAACTTTCCARTTCGCAACATACGCTGTGGGAATTTGATCGAGTACCAGAAGTAGAAACGAAATCCAATGAATCAATTAAACCATGCAAATCCATCATGACTCGTTAGGATAGCAGCGTTCCAAAATCAATTACGATAAAAAATTGAAAGATTCGAGAGAAGTCTACACCACTCATCGTGTCTACTCTACATAAATTTGCACTCACAGTAACCCCATTTGCTACTGACGTACAYGTCGCCGGGCTGTATGTTTTTTTTTCGAAGATATTCCCCTACAAATTTCTCGCTCAATCCATAGGATCTCGCACAGTCAACCCACGGCTGATTTTGTTTGCTTCTGCTCTGCTCGAACATGCAATCCAAAACGATATTGGCTTGGTTCTGCATGTCTTCGATAGATCGGGAATCGGATGCGCCGAATACCGAATCTCGATCCAGATTGATGTATCCCGGTCTGCCCAGGGCAGCCATTCCGAGTCCTAATCGCGGCAATGGCTTCATCAGRGTTTTCATTTTGATTGGCGTYAGGAGTTTAAATTGGTTTCTATCACGAAATAGTTACGTYAACCTTCCGCAGGGAACTTRTCTCAGATGGAATGTAACGATTTGAAATGTATGAAGGAACTATGAGTTTAGATAGCTACACCATGTTGTACTTCCGATGCGGTATCGTTCGGTACCGGGAGATGAGAGGGAGAGAGGCGTGATAAGACGTTTTTGTAGGTACGGGTTCGTACCTGTACCGTATGATTGTTTCAGATTTTTCACATCGAAGAATGTATCATATTCCATATTCATATCATACGTATGTACGAGAGAGCATGAGTACATACCCTGTAACAAAACATACAGTAGGTATTAGGTATGCTCATTGCTCATGTACTTTGCTAGTTCGTACAGTACCTGGTACCTGGTACGGTACTACTTGCTACTTTTGTCATGACGAAGTAATACTACGAATACTATCATAACAAGTGATTGCCACACTACGAAATTGGTTCCCATCGTTAATTTACTGATGCCATCCTTAGCACAGTACGGTACACAGTACAAAAACTACTGAGGTAGTTTGCAACTATTCAGGTGGCGCAGAACCAATCCTGCCTCTTTCTCAGAAGGCGAATCATGCTGAAATTTTTTGGGACCAAAACTCAGTAGAGCTCTGTAGAATTTGTACTGAAAAAA